TGACCGTTCCTCTGCGCCCCGCCGCTCAAATTGAACTAACGTCTCTACATATACAATATTTATACTTTTCGTATCTCCACCGTTAATAATAAAGTAACCAATTGCGCGCGCCCCTATTCTCTCACTCGCACACACTCGCTTTCTCTCTCACACTACCTACCTAACTATATAACCTATGCAGTTAATGATCTGGTTTACAAATTACGTGCGCCTCGGAGCAGGGAGGTGAAACGAAAAAGACGAGGAGCGATCCCCCTCCGTCGGGCCGGCGGCCAATCGCGCGCGGGGGGCGGGGCCTCGCCCGGTGGAGCCTCGCCCTGATTGGTGCGCTCCTCCGGGAGTGGTGGGGGGATCAGCGCTCCGGTGGGGGGACCAGTTTACAACGAAACGGGCACGGTTGAAACGCTATCTAGAAAGTAGTCGCCACTTTCTCCGGCCTCCGACTCCCGGCATTAACTGCAAAATAATACTGAAGTCCGCACATGGTGCCTATCACATATGTCCTATGTAATCCTCGCGCTCTCTCGCACGCACTCGCCTAGGGTCTACAGCCATTCGGAACACAGTCAGAACCGCTTCGTCCATTTGCACGAATCGCATACACAAGTAGAACCTAACCTGCCTTTCTCCCTCACTCCCTATTTCTCCCTCCTTCTCGTCGCGACAGAGTGAACAAAGGAAAATTGTTAAAACTATTCCCGACCGAGCTGTACTAACTTTGGCCATCAGCTTCTACTAGCCCCTTTTCCTTCCCTTTCTTTTTTTCTTCCTCTTTCCGTCGGGACGTCGCGCGAGCCAATCGCGACGTCGCGCCAGCCATTCCGGCCCGCTCATTGGTTTATTTTATTTTTTTTTTTCTACAATCCCCGTTCCCACATCCCCGATTCTTTCTCTCCTTCGAGTTTCGATTTCCCTCTATCGCGCGCCAAACTCGCGATTTAAAATTCCCGCCCCGAGTTCCCCGAATTTTCGAATTACCGATTTCGATCCACTGCCGGCGATAAAGATCCTGCGAGATTATCTTGAAATTCTGCATTTCGAGTCACTTTGATAATAACTACGTCCGTATGATAACCGTCTCCCTCATTTCCCGAGGGATTTCCTACCTCGGGGCGCGTTCTCGCCCGTCGTCACAAGAATTCCGCCGCCATTTTTCAAAATCTTCCGAAAGAGTTCCCGCGAACGCGACGAGTTAAAATATAAAAAAAGAAAAAAGAAAAAGAAGAGAAGAAAAACATGAGAATCGTAGGAAATTCTGAAAGTAACAAAAGGGACCGAAGAAGAATATTCTAACCGAGGAGAAGAGCTTTCGAGTCGCGCCCAAACTAACCCGAACATAACCTCCGTCAAGCCCAACGAGAACCGACGACGAGAGCCAAAACACGGTACAGCATATCGAAGCAGTTATAAACTCTTTTGAAACACCCTGTATATAGAATAATATATAATATATATATAATATATATATAATATTAATAATCAATATTAATATCAGTTTGTATTGTACAGGCTGTTTGGGGCCGAAAGCCTGTGGTCTCTATGCATTTACTTAATCCTTTATCGTACCGACACACTCCCTCCGTCGTTACACCTTCTATTATTAATTATTATTCAATAATCCTAGCCATATCGCTCTCTCGCTCGCACGGTATACGACGTAACGGATTAACCTCGTTTCTCTCCCTGTTTCGTATTTCTCTCTCCCTCACTCCCTCACAATTTCCCATTAATCTCTCTTTCTCTCTCTCATTCTCTCTTTAACGAAATTACCGCATGTATTATAGTTTTATGAATTACTTCTTTTACTTTTATAGTTTAATATGTAGTTCTTCTCTTCATTATCTATCGTAGATTTGTCTGTGGCTATCCCTGATGTGTTAGTTACCCTGCGCTTCCGTCTGTTATTAATTTCTTTTTTTTTTTTCTCTTTGTTTATTAACTTCGCGAAATATTGTTTTCATATCATTTTGCCCATTTTACCGGCGGTTCTACGATTACGTTCGTCAATACGTCTCTTTCTCTCTCTCTCTCTCATTCTCTCCTACTATCTCTCTTCTTCACTCTTATCTCCCTTTTCCTCGTCCGTATCTTCTTAAAGCAAGGTTACGATTTGGAGCTTGCCAACCTCCCGTCCCGATTCTATATTTCTCTCTTTCATTTCTCCTTTTTTCTTTCTCTTTCTCGACTCTTCGAGATTTTCTCTTCCCTCCGGGTTTTCACAGGCTCTTAAGGTGATATCAAATTGTCATTCCAGATATATCAAAACACCGAAATATTTATAAATCTATTCTCCAAATTGGGTGCACCAAATTATCTGAAACTTTAACAGGTGATTATGGAGGCTCTAAGAAACGACGCGACGTTTGTGAAATTTCATTTTCCAAAAGAAAAAAAAAAAAAGAAAGTGCCTCTTTTGGCTCTTGTCCGAAATGGAAATTTTTCTTCGACAAATGAAACTTCACGAGCGTCGCGTTCTTCCTTAGTACCTCCATAATCTTGCGATGCAGTTTCAAATGATTCGGTGCACCCAATTTGGAGAAAAGTTTTATAAATATTTTGACTTTTTGGCACGTATACATGACACTTTCATATCACCTTAAATGCGTTTTTCCACGGTAACGATAAACCACGATTAACGAGACCCGACAACGAGGGGACCGCGAGTTCTCGTTTCGCAACTTCGAGATATTGCACGAATCCCTTCTTTTTTTCTCTCTCTCTTTTTTTTTCCGTTTCGTTCCTTTTTATTCCTAATTATTATTATTGTGTTTTTCTTTTCGCGAAGTTGCCGAAGAGCTCGCTCGAGATTTTGGGGGGCTTTAGAGGATTGGGGACCGAATTTTGGCAAGCTCGCGACACCCTGTAAGTTACCCCTGGCCGTGTTACAAAGCTTTTTGTGCCGATCAGCGAATCTGGGACCAGGAAGAGACCCTGAAGAGCGACGAAGAAGGCTCTTCCTGGTCGTGATCAGGCCGACGCATTTACACCGCGTCTTGACATGCGTTTGTATTGTCGACGTGCAGTATACGCACTTATGCGTGGTCGACATGCGTGCGCGTTTCGCAGCTCCGGTTGTCTATTATTTTCGTTTTTTTTTTTTCATTTTTTCGCGTGGTCGGTGCTCGTCGTGAATCTCTTCTCTTCGGGTACCGGCTGGACCATCTCCCCAGAGATGAGATTCACGTCCACCTGCGTGCAGACGTAAGAGGGACGCTCGTAATGGATATGCTTATCGCCATTAACTTGTCCGAGATAAGCGACGTCGGTCAGTCTTCGTGTTTCCGGGATATCTCGAGAAGAACCTCTCTAACACAGATTTTGTCCTCCCCCGCGAATTTGGACCCCCAAGTTGCCCGGTTAAAAAAATCCCTCATAATTCCGAATTCCGTGAAAAGAAAAAAGTGAAATATTATGGATCTTAACGTTTTGCCCAAGCTCGAAGTCGAATCGAGACCACGAATTTTGTGGACCCCCCCAGTAGCCCGATTTTAAGAAACCTTTATTTCAAGAATCCCTCGTAATCCCGAATTTCGTTTAGAAAAAAAAAGAAATTAGATCTTGTAGGTTTTAATACCTCGTTGAAATACGAAGCCGAATCGGGGCCGGGAATTTCAAGGACCGCCCGGGTTATGAAAAAGGATCCTGGTTTGAAGAATTTCGTACAATTCGGAATCGTCACCGGGACAAATTAATTTCCGCCGATGTTAATGAGGGTTGAAATTTTCGGATAAAGAATGGGAAATTAGTGGCAAAGGTACGTAGAGCTTCCCGGTACCATGGCCCGACCCCCTGGGGGTCCAGATACGCAAGGTCAACAATTCCCACCGACAAGGTGCCCAGACCTTTCCTAACGTTCCTAACCTCTCCGAGGGTGGTTGTCGGACTTTCTGGAGAGCCTCCCTCCAACGTGGAATCACGGCTATAGAGCGGCGAGGGTGAGAATTTGGCGTGCCGAGTGTGATTTAGCGCATGCTTAGACGGGACGCCGCTCGGGCCAGCTCGTCCGACGCCGACGACGGCAAGTTCCCTTTCCCATTAGTTTTCCTCTTTACAATTTACAGTACTATTTGGTATGATCGCTCAATGTAGCAGGAACTGTTAATAGTGATGCTGCGCGCGGCCCGCTCGCGAACCGATGGAGTCCTCGAGGTTCTGGTCGACCCTGACGAGCGCAAGAATCCTGGATCGGGAAGGGAAGTTAGAAGACGTCGAAGAGGATACCGAGGAAAAGAAGCGAGCCAGGATGGAAACAAGGACACAAGTGAGATACCAGGAATATCGGATACGAGAGGAAGAAGACGCGACGAGGGACCCAAATACGCACCTGGAGCTCCTAGAAGAGGAGCGAGTCGTCAGGGCGCGTCCCTTGTCGGCGTACCCTCGTTTAGAAAATAGATATCCACAGAACGTGGTTCCCGGCACCAGGACCCAACTGCAAAGACTGTCTGATCAGGAAGGCACTCGCGTCGACCAGGGCGCCAGTAACGTGGGGGTCTATAGGACGTAGAACCCCCTAGCAAAATCGGTTTTGGTCTTGCAAGAGGTGCAAGAGGTGCAAGACCCTTGCCCTTGCAAGATCAAAATCTGGAAACCAGGATTCTAAACCCTGGACCGACGGGTACCATCCTCGGATGGTTCCCCAAGTTGCGTGGACCCTGGTCGTGCGTGCGTAATCCGTGCAGTCCATCGTCCACCTCGCGTCCCGCGGGTCGACCATCGAAGACCCATGTGTATACTACGAAGACCGAAGCCTAGAACGGAGAGGAGCAGGTACAGCGGGTCCGGATGAAGCTGATAGACGCAGCCAGAGGTGGACCCGAGGCGCGAGGAGTCTGCAGGAGTCTTCCGGGTGTGCGGCGCATCCGGCGTGCGGCGTCGTCGGGCCTCCTCGGAGACCCGTTCCGAAGAAGCTGCATGGGCGACTCAGGGTGCAGTTCTGTCGTGGGCCACCCTGGAGGCCCCCCGCGAAGGGGTCAGTCTTGCGTGGGGCGGAGCGTCCCGGGGCCCCGCGCGACGTCGGTCGGCTTAGTTGGACCCGTTCTGCTGGAGCAGCGCCGGTGCCGAGGTCGGCTGGGTTAAGGATTCGTGATTCGCCGGCGAGGGAGTCCTGCTCTTGGGAGCGAGGTCGGTCGGGGCCCCCCCAGGTGGCGGGGGCTCGAAAGCCTTCTGCTCGCTAGGGGGCAGCAGGTGGACCATGCTGACCGGGACGGGGAAGGCGGCGCCAAAGTCCGGGAAGAAGCCCTGGGGCAGGTTCCCTCCGAGCAGGGGATGGTGCGAGAAGCTGCCATCATCGGCGGGATGCGGCAGCCCGGCAAGCGGATGACTCATCTGGGCAGGTGGCTGGACGGCCTTGACGTTGTTGTTCAGGGAGTTCATGACCTCGCCGGTGGTGGCGCCCGTGCAGTCCCTCCTGAGTTGCTCCAGCTTGAGGCTCTTCCCGTATTTCCCTCGCACGTACATCAGCAGACTATTGTACGGGATCCCGAATATCCGGCTAGCCTGGGAGGTGGTCATCTTCTTGTTCCACACGTGTTGCAGAGCCTCGGTGAGCTCGGCGTTCGTCCAGGACCTGGGGGGTCCGCCACGAGGAGCACTGTGTTGGCCCTTGGGCCTGCCGACCGGGAGCCCCCTGCTATGTTCCGACCACCTGCGAGGTCCATCCCCGTCGGCACGGTGTTTCTTGGCCTTCTTGACCGGATGATGACCCAGATTGGCTCCCCCGAAGAGGCCGTGCAGGGCCTCCGGCTTGAAACTGTCGTGCAGATCCGCCAGAAGCGACCCCCGGTCTAGCCCACTCCCAGGAGGAAACAAGCCACCGGCGCCGCTGAGAGGTGACACGCCGTCCATGGGGAAGACGGTGACGGATCGTCTGGGGGTCAGCGGTCCCGCGGGGTCCTGCTGCTGATAGGGATGCGCCCGGCCATGGGGGCTGCCCTCTCGGGGATGGTGGCCCTGGGTCAGCTGGCTCTGGGCAGCCGGGTGGCTGGGCAGCCACTGGGCCGCCAACTGGCCCAGGCTCGTCAGGTACTCGCTGTGATGGTGCGGAGGGGTCAGCGAGAGGGCGGACATGCCGGGCAGACCCGCCGCCGGGAAGTCCTGGAGGGACCCGTCCGGATGCAGACTGCTGCCGGTCAACGGCGACCCCCTGGGGCTGCTGGCGGCCTCGCTCTCGGTCTTGATCGCCGGCTCCGCCCCACCCTCGGTCGGCAACGACCTCTTCATCGACAGGTTCTCGGCGATCTCCTCCTGTACCTGGGGCTGGGCCTGCTGCGCCCCCTGCGGGTTAGCCTGCTGCGACTGGCTGCTGAGGTTCAGCCCGCTGGGCGGCGGACTGGGGGTGGTGGGCGGGTGGGGCCTGCTCAGGTCTTGCGGGACCAGGTCCCCGGACCTCCTGCGTGGCCTCGCTTGCTTCCTCCTCGGCATCAGCGGCGAACCGCACGAGTCTCTCAGCTCCCGGAGGGAGAAGTTCAGGTGGCCCATGTGTGGTAGCCGGTCCCGGTGGTCCCGGTGGTCCCGATGGTCCCGATGGTCCCGCTGGTAGGAGGTGCCCTCCCGTACATGCGCGGCGCTCTCGGACGCGTTGTCATCCTCTTCCGGGGTCCCCTGTCTGGCCCCCTCCGGCGTCGACGGCTCCCCCAGGAGAAGGTCCGTCGTCGGGGTCTCGGGTGGGCTCGCTGGTCGCGGCTCCGACGACGCCAGGCCTCGCACCTGCAGGCTCTCGGCTGCTCTCATCAACCCTGGGAGCTCCTCTCGACCAACTCGGACCTCGCCCCGGTACATGAAGTCGATCAGGGCTGCTACCTCACGCCCGGGGAAGTCCTTCAGCACGATCACCGGGTGCTTGCACGGGTGCTCCGCGAATATCCGCTCGAAGAATGGACTGCAACGGGGAAGACGATTATGCCGATTAATCTCCAGACTCTGAATTTCTCTCTTCACCCCATGGACCATGAAAAACTCAGGTAACGCTAACGCTCACGCGTTGGTTCATGGTCGATATAATAAATCCCTGATATTTTTACATGATTTTTTTTACGTGGATTTACGGAGTACCCAAGGACTTGCCAATGGGGGGGTTCACTCGATCCGGACAATTTGCTGCGAAATCAAATAATGTGCGGCAACATTGCTCGGTAGGTGCGTTTTTTTCTCTCTTTTTTTTTCCCCGCCACCTTTTACGCGCTTTTTGTACAGAGGTGGAGGCAGGGGCGAGTAACGCGTTTGCGTGTAAAACAAAGACAGGTCATTGGTTCCGCGTTTGCACGCTCGGGTCGGCTTCATGTACACTGGTGGACATGATTGCCATCCTATCATCCACCGGGGATTGCATATCCGCGAGAGAAGCATTTATGTTCCTCGGTGTACTTAGCAAAGCGATTAGGACGTATTGTTAGTAAGCGGATTCTTCAGGAAACCGATAGGCGAAAGGAAACCCGGGTGAATACGCGCGTCTTCACGAGCAGTGAACCCTGGGCCGATCCGTGATTTGCATATTCTCGAGGCAGACAGAAAGTGGAGGGATCATTGATGTAATAAATTGCAGAGGGGAAAGTGTCGCAAATTCGGCCCGATCAGTGCTCAAAAGCGGTACGACTGTCGTCGCAAGTTTCGCCCGGAAAAGGAGATTCTCATCGGTGCGATCCGTCGAGTGTAACATAGAAACGGGAAAGGGAAGACTTTGTCCGGGACCATTGGGTAATCATTGCCGGTCAAAGATGCGGCGAAAGGTACCAAAATGGCCCTCAAAAATCTAAAAGAAAAATAGACCCATCGATTACTGCGACCCTCGTGCCTGCATCAATTTTTACATCACTCGCTGCACTTCGGCGCCATTTATCCTTTGATTGATAAAATAAGGTAATGGTACCGTCACAAATTATTTGGGAGATTGAAAACGTAGGAAAGAGGTAGAAAAAAAAATAAGTTGCGTGTTTGCATATGTAGGAAAATAATGCCCGAAGGAGGCATGTGGTACTTATAATAAAGCCAAATTTGGAAAGGTCTCTGAAAGATTCGGAGGGACTCTTTTTAGTATGATTAAAATAATTATGATGCTTTTTTTCTGTTCTTTCGATCACAGGGACGTATTTTTACCTGCACGCGCTGAGGACCACTTTGTGCGCCCTGAGGCTGGTCTCGGTGCAGACCAGGGTGACGTCGACGAGGATCTCCGCGTGCAGGAGGGCCTCGAAGGCCTGGAGGATGTGAGCCTGGTGGTTGTTCCATCGCAGGGAATAATGGGACTGCAAAGCCATCCCGTCAGGACTCTCCGCGGCGCTCGACATCTTTCGGCCCTCCTACTTCTCGTGGAGCCACCTTGGCCCACCTTCGGCGCCGTTCCTTGCGATTCCGTCCTTCCTGCTCTCTTCCATGCACGCGCCCTCGATACCTCCTACGCCGCTACTGCATCAGGTGTCGTATTCCTGGACAAATGACAGAAAAATTAATCCACGCTCGAAAAAGTCACCCTGAACCTCAAAAAAAAATGTCGATCCGTTATAAGATTCGATTTTAATCGCATTGAGAGGTGCATCATGTGTGGACGGTATGCCTACATTCTCGTAAAGAGACTCGGGCGGAGGAAAGAAAGGGAACTGTTAAAAAATTCGATTTTAATAGCACTGGGAGGTGCATCACGTGTGGACGATGTGTCTACGTTCTCGTAAAGAGACTCGGGCGAAGGAAAGGAACGGATCCGTTAAAAAGTTCGATTTTAATCGCACTGGAGGGTGCATGACGTGTGGATGGTGTGCCTACATTCTCGTAAAGAGACTCGGGCGGAGAGGAACGGATCCGTTAAAAAGTTCGATTTTAATCGCACTGGGAGGTGCATGACGTGTGGATGGTGTGCCTACATTCTCGTAAAGAGACTCGGGCAGAAGAAAGGAACGAATCCGTTAAAAAGTTCGATTTTAATCGCACTGGGAGGTGCATCACGTGTGGATGGTGTGCCTACATTCTCGTAAAGAGACTCGGGCAGAAGAAAGGAACGAATCCGTTAAAAAGTTCGATTTTAATCGCACTGGGAGGTGCATCACGTGTGGGCGGTGTGTCTACACTCGCGTAAAGAGACTCGGTCGGAGGAAAGGAACGGACAAGGCCATTATGCGGATAAGTGCCAGAGGATAAAAGGCAAGGATACGAATCGGTCTCGACCCATGGGACGTAATAGCTCGTACGCACACGGGAGGAAGAATTTCGCAAGCCGAATCAAGTGGGAAAGAGCAGAGGATAATATCGAGATGGGATTTTTCAGGATTATCAGAAAATAGTGTAAAGTGGAATTGCGCGACAGGGCGCGGATAATGAAAATTTTAATTATCGAGAGTGGGATTCCTCTCCAAGTTTTTCGAGTTTTTCTTCGGGTATCAAATATCGGGCTTGGGTAAACGATGGGAACGGAAAGTGTTGGGGCATTTTCGGCGACGTAACCGGGAGTTTGCGGAAAAATCGAGCGGCCTCGTGGTTTCGCAACCTAGGAATCCCGGGACAAGATGGCGACCCGTTCCACACCGTTGTGGAAGAACGGACTCGGACGTTTACTGACTTTCTTGGTATCAGGCAGCTCGAGTGGTTTACGCGAAGGGGGCAGAAACTGTAGATTAGAATGTGCCACGGAAAACTCCTAACTATGTCTGGGGAAGTGAATTCGTTGGGGGCCCGATAATGCGCCGTTGCATTTTCGAGAAAAGAGAGGTTTCCTAAGCGACGTAACTCACACCTGCCGCGAGTCCGTCGCTTATACCTCGCTAGGAATAATTTCGCACTCAAAAGTGTTTCCTCGATAGCCAGCGGACAGAAAATCCCGTAAACCTCCATCGATTTGCGCGAAAGCGGCATAATTAATTTTTCATTTTTTTTTTTCCCCCCATTACCCGGGAGGGAAAAATTAATTCTCTCGCGGTATTTCCCTGCGAATCCGTGAAAATTACAATATTTCGCGCATATCGTCAGTATTTGCATTATGGTTAGGCAGGTAATGCAGACGACCCGTGACCCGGTGTAAATAATTGTTACGTTTAATGGGGCCCGATCGAAATCGGAGATATATTACGATTTGCAAACAATTTACTATTTCCCACCTGAAAGGGGGATCCGGGTTGCGGAATTTTTTAAGTTGGGAATTAATTTATAATACGCTTTAGCGAAAAACCTACGCGGCCCCGTCCATTTTATCCGACCGGGCGGCAGAATAAAACGGAGGCCGATGCGCGATCAACAAATATCCGGAATAATTGATTCGGTTGCGCTGAAATCGAACTCCATTCTGCATGGCGCTAACTCCGGATGGACGCTGATTCCATCGTCAATTACTGCAATTCTTCCTGAAAACAATATTTTATATTTACGCGGCGGCGATTCAATGCACACCCAAGTTGCGGGATGGATCCAAGTCGCTAGAGATAATCCCATTTAATAACAATGCATATAATAATATCAAAGATATCCGTAAACGAGGAGCCCCCGAAACGCACCTCTCGTCACCTCGAAATGGTGAGATGAAAAATCATTTCGCGTCATTTCCCCGCCTCTAGGAGATTATCATAAAATTTCACCCGAAGTTTCTTACGCGGTACTTTATGTAAACCTTGCATTACGGTACGCGAGCTGGCATTTGCCCCAGGAAAATGCAAACTTGCGGCTTCGAGAACCCCCAGGAACGATTGTTACATCATGTTCGCACGGTTTTTCTTCCTTTGTGTGAAGGTGATGTTAGAGATATTTCTTGTTTTTCTTTTTCTTTTTTATTTATTTCAAAGAAGAGCCATCTCGCTCATTACTTCGCGGCGAAAGTTCGTCGAGGCACTGTTAATCGCGATTTGAATTTTTTTCTTCCCCGGCAGGTTAAATATATAAATAAATAAACAGGGGAGTACAATAAATTCGATTAGGGGACCCGAAGTCGAGGAAGCCGGGGAGACACTCCGGCAATCAAATCCAATTGGTCCCGGTAGAAAATGGGAATATCATTCGCGATATAATTTTAGATCCCAGACAGGAGACGCGAGACGGATTCGCGGGTTCGTAGATTCTCGGGCGCGAGAGATTGACGGTAAGGAAGATAATGTAATTCATCAGTAACTCCAATCCCGAGAGCGGCGCGAGTAGAAATTATTGGAACATCTCATTTCCGTATCGAGACGAGAAAAGAGCGATTTTTCCCCACCGGTGCCGAAAGCGATGCCGCGAATCAAAAAGAGGATTTTCCAAAAGGAAAAAGGACTTACCGACGATTTATCCGTACTTAGAATATAGGGTAAAAAGAAATGTATATGAAAAATCATACACAGATATCCGTGAAAGAAATTCCCTAAATTAAGCTCGACGATAAGCAGGGCTGATTACGTTTGATTCGCCGATAGAAAATTCAGACCGAGACATGGTGAAGCAGGGGATGGACCATTGATTTATGTTATTGATCTATAACCTGGACATCTTTAGTCGGTTAAATTCTGGATCTAGTGGAGTAAATCGCGATCCGGTAAATAAAGTGCCGTTCGCGGAGTTATGGATGGACGATCAGTTAGCGCTGGAATAATCCCAGAAAATCATCTCGGGCTTAATGTTGGATGTCGGTTTGTCCGCTAATACTTTGTGGAGAAGTTTGTCGGAAGATTGGATGGGACGTTTTCATGGAAAGAAGTCGATCTAGAATTTCAGTCACCATGATCGTCTCCGATTGGTTCTCAAACGTGCGATTTTAGATACCGTCCTTACTAAAGGGTGCTTAATAAATAAAATCGAGAAAAATAAAATGGTAAAAATTGTAAATTAATTACAGAATGCCTCCCTCTTGTAGGAATTAATTCTAGGTGGTTATATCGTGACTAGAAAATGGCACGACGACAATGGTACAACCCGGCTCGCGGAAGCCCTCCGTTGAGGCTCGACGAAAAACGGAGAACCCCGCCAGAAGACACGGAAAAGCCTTTATCAAACGACCGCGCGATACTTACGGGAAGTTCGTAACGTCTTGGCAGCGGTATTAACAACTTACAGGATATTATGTTCACGGAGTGAAGCTCAAGTAAAATTTCCATCCCCGGCGCAACTTCGACGCGCGCACTTTCCAACGCAAGAGTTCTAAGAGGTTCTTCGCTGCGAAGTCGGCTTTTTATCAATTTTCTCATTCCCATCGGTTTCCCCGACTCGGCAATCATTAAGAATTGTTGCATCGAGAGTAATGCTAAGAAATTCCCAAAAGGGCCGGATGTAAATTAGATGCCCCCAAGAGGAGGTCAATTATTCTCGTTTCTGGGGGGCCATTTCGGTTGGGACTTCGATTTTCCGTTTTTTGGGTAAATTTTATCCTCGTCCCGTAATGGCATTTCGGCCGATTAGAACGGGGGATCGAAAGTCCGATGCGCAAGGAAATCCTGGAAAATGATTCGCGGGGTTTTACCCATTCCACCGGTGATGATTATTGGTAAATATTTACTTCCGACTCGCGGTTGGTCGGCCTGGTACCCAGGAGTGTATTTTGGCTCTAGCATCCCCTAGGCAAATTGAAATTTACTCGTCTACTGTCATCTACCGCTATTTTATTGCATGATGTTGCGCTTCTTCCCCCCTTCGACACACATAACCGCGCAACGCCGTTCCCGAGGTTTTTCATTAATTTTAGAACCTCCAAATCATGTAAATATTAACCGCCACGGCACTCGATGTTCTAGATGATAAAATTTGGAGCATTAATTAAAATTGGCCCGATCGGCCGGGGACTGTCAAGCGATTGCCCGGATTGACAAACAAATGGAAATTACACCAGTATTTACCGGCGCGTTTGCCATTTCTTTTAATTTGCCCGCCTAGGTAATCATTTTTCTGTTTATGCGGTAAACACGAAACACATTGCTTTTACCTACACTCGGGAAAATTGCGCCACGTTACTGTATAATTCCCCCTGTAATTCCAGGGGCATTGTTGCCAAACACAGTCGTATCTAGAGTCCGAATTCCCACTCGATTTCGCGTTCCGTTCGTCTCCTTCTTTCTTTCCTCGATATCGTGATCATAGATAACGACCCCCAACTGTCTTATAATAATTCCTGATCCTTATAAAAATAACGATTCCACCGAACATTATCAGTAAAATTTTGTACTAAAGAAAATAGAATTCAAAATTGACAAAATATTTAATTGTGAAATGGGGAAGAATTAGAAAGAATAATGTTTTCTCGGGGCGAAGGTAACTCCTCCAAGGATGGTAAAAATCTTATCAGGAAAGGCGCGTGGGCCAGGCGGGCGCGCGCGGGCCGAGCTGTCAAAATCAGCTGATCGCGGGAGCCGCTGTCACCCGCGGCGCGTGCCTAAACTTTTCCGCGGCTCCCCCTTAGCACATCGCCATAGCCTTTTCCAGGATCTAAATCATGGACACCCTCGATTCCCATCGACTGCCCCGCGTCCGTTAAATTAACATCGCGTTATCCGAAGTTTGAAAACGGCGCGGGTCGGTAACCTTTCCCGAATCCATCGTGGAACAACAAGTGTTTCTTGTCCGACCAGTGTTTACATTATGTACCATGACAGTTCGCCGTTAACCGCGGACAGACGCGAATCGATTCCGCCGTATCTTGGGAGTATCGAGAGGATAATTTCATGGATTCCCAAAAACCCCTGAAAACCATCCCACGAAGGTCCCTCCCGATATACCTGTCCCCCTCCATTCCCATCCTAACCCCCCTGAGGTTTCCCAAAAAAACGCATCAAGACAGCTTACAGGAGTTAAAAGTGCGATCCTGGGTCAGTGGTGCACCAGGAAGTCCCTTCGAAGTCGCTTCGAAGTCACTGAATCCTCCACCCTCCTCCACCCCTTCGCTCCGCACGTCGCACGTGAGAGAAGCGCGCTGCGAGTTCCACACAAGGCACCACAACAAATCGGGAATATATACATATACATATACATATATATATGTATATACCAATTTTTTTCCAATTTCAAATTACCATCAGCTAACCCTTGCCACAAATAGTTTCTAAAATCCCCCCGACCGTCGATCGAGAAATCCGACTAAAGATCTCCCTCGCTCATAGACCTCCTCACGAGCTCCCAGGACACCCTGCCGGTCCGGGCACCTCGCGGTCACTGAATCGGCACTGCCCCCCTCGGCGCACGTGAACCGCGACGAACCCCCGCGGGATTGGCCGAACGCGCCCGAACCCCCCCGAGGCCCTCTCTCACCCCGCCGTGGGGGTCGCGCGTCGGGCACGGATGTGAACTGACCGTGTCGGTGGGTTGCATGCGTGGCGCAGCGGCGTCGGCGACGGCCGGTGAGTGAATGCGCCGCGGACTTAGGCGCCCCTCCCAGGACCCCCTCCCTCGGGCGGGCGCGCGCGCGCACCCCGCCACCCCCCACCACCCCGACCGCGCGCGCGGAGCGTCCCGTCGCCCGCGACCGACGTCGCCGCGGACCGCGAACTACCCTTCCTCCGCTTTCAAGAGCAACCCCTATCCCGCCGGCCGCGGCCACCCCCGCGGGCCGAAACTCCCCTCCCTGCTCCCCCCTTGCGGGGGGTGGTACGGCGTGCTCGGCCGCGCACGAGGTCCGCCGACCCCCACGCGCATGCGTCCACCGGCCCGGAAGCCGCGCCAAGAGACGCGGAAACGGATGCGGATCCCGCGCGCGCCATGACTTACAAGGGGATAAGTCGGAATTCCGGTTATGCAGCTTTGGATTTATTAGATTTTTTTACTTTATCAGATTTTCGACGACTTCATGATTTTGACTGATTTTCGAATTCGCGATTTCGGGGCGAGAGAAATGTCAATGGTAGTTGTAACCAGGAAAGGGGAAGCGGAAAGACGCAAGGTTACTGATTTAATGGTTTTGTACGGCTTGTATTATTTCAGAACGCGGGATGGGATTTTAATTCGTGGAAATAATCAGAGGTGTGAGGTTAGGTCTGAAGTTAATATCGGGAGGTGACGGTGGTTGGAAATGGCGGAATGTTGGTTGGAAAAAGAATTTGGATGTAGGAAAACGTGAGGGAGGACCAATGGGGATGTAACCTACGCCGGCCAGAATTCGGAGATCGTTTTGAGGATTCTTCCGTAACAATCGGCCGGGCTCAAAGGGCCTTTCCGCCGAGAGTCCGTCCGACACTCGACGATTCTTTTCAGCGGGCAGAAATACGCGGAAAAGCGGCGCCGGAAAGGAAACGGTCCTCGGATGCACGAGGAAGGCCCGTGAATGGCCAGAGTACCTGTCTTAGACACGGACCTAAGACCCCCGAAATGCGTTCCCTCGAAGAATTTACCGCAAGCCACGCGTCGAAAGGACGAGAGTCCTTCGGAGCATTCCGAGGATCTGCATAATCTTCTTTTGGGCCGGCCAGGATACGCAGTAAAAACGGCGAGAGTAAAGTACCTCCGCAACGAGATCTGCACGATAATCCGAAAATACGAAACTACGGAATTCCGGAATTTGGAGGTAGGGCTTTGAAAAAAAATAAAACAAAATCCCTCTCCATGAATGAAAATAATTATTAAGCAGGTATCACCGGAATACTTTAATTATTCGCTTATTTGGGTCGCGTTAAAATATTCTCAGAGGAAGACTCGGTGGATCGGTTCGGAGACCCGTCGGCGAAGTCAATGACTATTTCCCGAGGTTTGTACGTTAAATGGTAAACTCGAAAATTGGTTGTAAATTTCGTTACCTACATTCCGAGATCCTCCGAGCAATTTCGATCCAGTTCCCGGCGTAGTTCGGCCCCTTGGAAGTCGTAAGTGCGAAGACCCCGCGCCGCTTCCGCTGGGTCCTTCCGGGCGCTGCTCGGTTCCTCCAATTAGAAGCCGCTAAAACCATCCGCGATTGGCTCACTTTGGCACACTGCACACATCCCGGGGTTTCCGCTCGAGCCACGTGACCGGAGGTCCCGGGCCAATGGGGAGGCCTCTTCCGTCAGATCGACCAATGGGGACCGCTTCCGTCGGCGGACTCGACCAACGCTTCCTCGAGGGGCTCTCCGCGTGGCCGAATTTCCAGTGGATCGCTCGGGCGGCCCAACGGAAATTCATCGACCGCCTCCGATTGGTCGGCGAAAAATCCCGAGGAGACCACGGAGCCTTTTTCCTTCCTCCAAGACTTCCGCGTTACCCTCTCGGGGGATTATTTCTTCACTTCCTTTTCCCAATTAATTAAATTCTCTCCTTTCTTCAGGCTGAAAAAGGGTTCCTCGGCATGTAATATCCCCCACGGCAGGCTTCCACTTCTGGATGTGATATAAACCGCCCCTCGATTTAAGAAAGCGAGAGACGCCGCCGACACCCCCTGCAGATCGAGATCACCATGGTACCAGGAATGCGAGATAACCCGAACCCTCTTCCTCCGCGTCTCACATCCGGGGTACCACGTGCACCAGGCGGCGCCGTTCCGACGTCTCCAGGAAACGAGTGGGTCCTAACCTCCTCCAGAGGATTGGGTACGTTTTTCCAAGTCCTCCAACACCAAAAGCCAGGTTTTCCCCGTCCTCTTCGTCCTGGTTCGGCGTTACCGGTGCTCCTGAGCCTGCGGTACCAGGCTCCGTGGACCCTTTCTGCTCCTTTCTTCCTTAGGGTTCCTAACCTCCCCGAACACCTTCACCAAACCCCGATCCGCACCAATCTCCACCCGAGCCCGACCTCTCCCTGGACGTTCCAGCGACCCTTCCGGCGGCACCTGCACCAGCACCGATCTTAGGAACTCTTAACCGCGCGTCCTCTCTCGGTCCTCCTCTCTCCCTCGCTCCTGCGCTCCCCTGGATGGTACCCTCTCTCTCCGTCGCGCGGCGTGTCACATTTTCCGGGCCGCGACCGAGCGGTGAAACTGGGCGCGCGCCTCCTCTCAGGCCGGCTGGCGAGCGGTGTGAAACGGTCGGTGTTGCGCCTTGCTCACGGAGCGGTCGCGTAGTGACTGCCTCTTCGTACTTTGCCACTGGAAGCGCGGAGGAAGAGGCAGGAGTCCCACCTCCTTGGCCACCTCCACGCGGGGGGTACCAGCCCACCGGTGCGCGGCCCCCTCCCTGCCCGCCGCAAGCCGCCCTCCTACGAGCCCGAAGACGTCCACCACCTCCCTTTTTGCTACCGGGACCCGAGCGATGGCCCGACCCCCCGAGTGACCGACCCTGGAGACCTCCAGGACCCCCAGGACCCCAGGACCACGCCGTGCCACGAGTGTCCTGATTCTCTGCCTGCCCCCTCGTCCCAGGGCGGAGGTCCCTTGCACCTTCCGTACACCTTGCCTCGCTTTAGCGGATATTTTACATGCAGGTTTAACGAGGGGCTATTCACTTGAAAACCAGTGAAAACGATTTCCTTCTTTGAGAACCGATTCATTGCATATGATAAACAATGAGATTCGGTAACGAGTCACGTTCGACATTAACCCTTTAACTACACCGCGGAGTGGTAATGTCTGATATGAATAGGATATTCATTTGTCGCTTTGAATAAATGGGAATGAAGGGGGACGCTATAGTGGCGCTTCGTAAAAAATCCTGTATTTTGTGCGGTTAAGGTTGAATTTAGAGAGAAAAAGAGAAATATTGGGCAAGGTCGGCGGGTTATCGTTGGACGAGAGCGAGGAGATTGATAAGAAATGTTTCAGAGGACGGATGGTGATTTCATCCGCGGATTTTAATTCCCGCGGGTAAGTGTTCAGGCTCGAATCTTCTCCGTTGATAGGCGGGAATGTCGATCACCTTGTGGCCGGAAATCTTGCAGGTGAAGGAGGTGAAGTCGGGACTTAAGAAAATAATTACTGGCAGGAATTACAAGTAGGAATTGGATTTTATGCAAATGCGAGGAGGGTACGGGTAACACCCTCCTTCTCTAGGGGGTGCGTATGAATTATTGATATTCGAGTTATGGGAAGAACGCATTTCGAGTCGGGCCGAAATCAGCCGGGCAATTAGTCCCTAGGAACGCGACGGCGACTTCCTCTCCGATAAGTGGCCATAAACCAAATGCCGTATTCCCACAGGATTCAATTTTACAACTCGGGGTGTGCTAAAGCGAGCCACTTTTATTCCCCTCCCCCTGCGGAGCGACCTTGGTACGGGACTATCCTAAATCCTGAGGAACCTTCCAGGGTGTTACACCTGCCCGGCACCTGTACCGTTGGCCTCCCCCGAATATCGTCCTCGTGTGCGTCCGTAACCTCCACCGCTTTACTACCTTCGACCGACCCCCAACAACCCCCAACGACTCACCTGACCATCCCCATAGGACAACAGTTCAGGGGTGCCTCGACAATGGTCGTAAAGGACGCGTCTTGACCGCCTTCTGCGGCTAATTTTCCAGGTTTACCTTATTTACCTGCCTCTCTTCGATTTCCACATTTACCTGATTCCCCCGAATTTCACCGTCAACTTCGAGCAGGAAAACGCGCTTAATTACCCAAAATAATGGAAATATGTTGTTCCACCGAGGAAGTATTACACTTTTGTGACCTCCTCACGCCGGGGATTATCCTGGAAAGGACCTTTCTTTATTCCTCCTGAAGCGGATACGTGCCGCTTTTCAGGAAAGGTTCGTTACCTGTGTTCGTGTCATCCTAATGTTACCTGTCTACGACTCGGTAATGGACGGTGATTCACGTAGGTGACGACCCCAACTTCCACGGATACCGAAAGGGGTGGAAGTTCCACACCATATGATTTGCAGAAATTTTTGACAATCACGGAAAACTAGAATATGGACGCGACGGACTCGAGATATTTATTCCAAGCCGGGAGATGTTCGGACGAAAGGCGGCGGCCATTTTGGATTTCTAGTATTTATGGGAACTCGCAGTTAAAGGGAGAATTCGTTTATGGGACGTTCCGAAGTTTGGGGATTATTTTCGCTCGTAGCTAATACAATTTACTGTTAGTCTGCACATTATGTGTCATTGATTCCTGCCCATAAAGGATGACGAAGGAAACGGACAGGTAGACTATTGTTCGCCTCCCTTTGCGACAATTGCTTGGCTACGTCACTACCGAGTCATATTCGCAAGTGCGATTAATAATTCTCCAATTTAAATAATTATTCGAAGAGTGTCCTTCTAAGGAATTTAACCATAGCAATTAAGAACAGCAGATTA